CAGGGTAGGTCTGTGCGGGAGGGGGAGGAGAGCGTAGTCCCGGTGCGCGCGGAGGGGGCGGGCTCTCGTGCCGCCGCTCAGGGGCGGGGTCGGCGCGCGCGTGCGATTGTGGAGAAAGGGGCGGGACCGGCCCTGCGCTGAGTGCTCTCTGCGGCCGTCCCTCTCCTGTCCTCCCGGGGTGGGCGGAGCCTCGGCTTGCCTTCCGCGCCCGGGCCTGATGGGTTGGGGGACGGGCAGGGGGTCTTCCGCGTGTGGCTGCGGGGCGAGGCAGGGAGGGGGCGTGAAGTCTGGTTTCCTCCTCCTCCTCGGGATCCGGTTGGCCGGAGGGGCCGCACGGAGCGGCGATGCCACGCCCCCGGGCCGTCCTCTCCCCCTCTTCCCCCCCCCCTCCGGTTTCCGCCTCCTCGGCAAGTGAGGCGGGGCTCGGGAAAGCCCGCTGTTGGGTCTGGCTGAGAGTCTCGGCGCCTAGATCTGCCCCGCCCTAGGTCTCCAGGGGTGGGCGGGGCCCCAGCCGACCAGAGCTGTGGAGGTGTCAGGACTTAACAGTTGTGGTACGGCCGTGCCTTTTGCCTGGGGCACAAGGGCCGGTTGCCAGAGCTGTTGTCTTCTCCTTGGTCCTTACAGTGGGGATGGCACCGTGCAGCTTGGAGAGTGAGAGCATGATCACCACCATTCCCCTCTTCGTTGTAATTATTGGGACGAGGTGCCCAAGGTCCTTTAGTTGAAGTCCGTGGTCGAACGCAACTCGTGCTATGACCATGCTTCTGCAGCGGTGATGGTGGGGGGAGGGACAGAGAGTCATCAGAGACTGGAAATGCGGCCGGGGGCAATCTTTCCTGGAGTTCTCTGCATGCTAAATTACCCTGGCTATACGGGGCGGGGCTTCCGTTGAGCCAATGGGGCGGTGGGTAGTTAGACTTGGCCACTGTTTCGGTGCCTTAGAACTTCAAACCCAGTTAGCCGTGAAAAGGCTGTGGAAGCTCCTGCTCTTCGCAAGGCTCAGATTTAGAAAAGGAAGGATAGGATTTGTATTTTGCTACTTAAAATGATTTGTTTATAAAACATGGTGATTTGTAAAAAGAACTATATAAAATACTCTTGATTCCTTCTACCTTTGCATTTCTGAATGCTTTCATTGTATAGGTGGTTCTGCTATATGAGCTTAATTTCACAAAGAAATAAGTTGCAATTTAGGTAACTATAGTTGTTCTTGAAAAGTCTTCTGGTTTTATGTAGTTGTTGGAACATCTAGACCACTTTCTAGTCGATAAAATCTAGTGTTCTAGCCCTGTTTTATTACAGAAAGTAGAGTGAAGTCAAGCACTTGTGTGCATGCTTTATGTAGTGTTACCCTCCAACCAGTACAGACTGGGGAGTTGCCTTAGGACATTTCAGGTTTAATGAACCATTTTAATTGAAAATTTTGCTCTCACTTGATACATTCTCTTAAGAGAAATTAAGTGTTTTTGGTAATTTTCATGAGAAAATAATATGTTCTTTATTCAGTAACATCTTAGCAAGCCCTCTGGGCACTTATCTGAACTAAAATAAATTCTAGATTTGTACTTTGCTCAGTTGGGACTGAGCTTGGTGCGCTATGTAAGACTCACGTGAAGAGAGTAAGTCCCACCTTCTCAGCGAAGGAAGTAGGAGTGACAACAGTAGCTTTTTAGTTTGATTAATGAGAGCTGTAACAGAATTGGTCTGGAGACTGAAAACCTGGGTGTTTTTCCTGCTACTATAAGCTGGCAAAGATAGTGGAGAACTTACCATTGAGGAAAGTTCGGTCGACACATAGTTGTTCCCACCATTCGCAGTGCAGTGTGCTTGGAAATGGAAGACGTACTTCTTGCCCTGAAAGACTATATTGCCAGGCAGCCGGTTAGCTCAGGTGGTTAGAATGCAGGCTCGTAACACCGAAGTTGCCGGTTCGAATCCTACATGGGCCACGGAGCTGCACCCTCCACAACTAGATTGAAACAACTACTTGACTTGGAGCTGATGGGTCCTGGAAAAACACAGTTCCCCAATAAAATTTCTTGAAAAAAAAATATATACATATATATGTATGTGCATACATACATATGTATATGTGTGTGTGTGTGTGTGTGTGTGTGTGTGTATATATATATATATATATATATATATATATATATATATATATGGCCTATTGGTGTGGCAGCGTCACAAGCACCACACAGGCTTTAATAATTCAAGTAAGAGGGCCGGCCGAGTGGCTCAGTTGGTTAAGAGTTTGCTCAAGAGTTTGAGCTCTGATCAACAGCGGTTCGAGTCCCACCCAAGCTGAGCAGCCACTGAGCTGCCAACAGGTAGCAGGATGGCTCAGCTAAAAAAAAGCAAGTAAGAACCTAGATATAGTTTTAGGAAAGTTTTCATAAATGCTTGTTATCTGTCCAAGTGTATAGTTTTGTCAGAATTAAAGGCCCTAGATAGAATCGCATTTTGTAATTATGAAGGTTTCACTTAAAGAGTAAGATTTTTTTTCTTTTTTAAGGAAGGAGGTGTGTGGTGATTTGATAAGATTTCTGGCAAAGCATAGTCCTGTTCACATCTTCAGTGTAAAAAGCTACTGTTACACTGGAGAGCTGTGTAAGGCAGATGTTAATGGCTGTCAATTTTAGTTGGGATGAAAAGATTACGTTCATGACATTCAGTAATCTAGTGCAGGTCTTTAAAAGGCTTTCTCATTCTTCTGGTTAACTCTACCAAGAGTGTTACTTTCTGTAGTTCTTATCAAAATGATAGTTACTTACTTTTTCAAAGTACACCTTCTGTCTCCGTGAATAATAAAAACTCAAGATTTATTGAGCCCTTACTGTGTCCCAAGCACTGAGTTAGGCACTGTACATTTATTAACCCATTTAATTTTCATGACAGTCCTGTATAGTGGGGACTGTGAAACCCATGTTTTAAAGATGAGTGGCACAGAGAGGTTAGACATACGTTAAGTGGCCAACCAGGATCAGAATCCAGGCATTCTGGTTCCAGAGGCCATGCTCTTAACTCTGCACTTCAGCTGCCTCTGGTCTAAGGATAGTAAACAGAAGGAACAGTGTGCTTTTTTAAAATTGTGGTAAAAAGAGCCGGCCAAGTGGTGCGCTGGTTAAGCATTGGCTTGGGACATCAGCTCTGAGCAGCAGGGCCCTGGTTCGGATCCCACATGAGGGCCAGTGATGCTGTGCCCTCGACAGCTAAGATGGTGAACAATATTTCAACCTGGAGCTGGGCTGCCGTTAGTAGCCAGCGACAGCGTAGGCTGCAGCCCCTGGTGCAGTGGGCTGCCATGAGCTACCAGTGAGTGGCTGGCAGCCAGCATGAGCTGCCGTGAGCGGCTGTTCAATGGCCGGCAAGCGACTGCCTCACTGGGAAGAGCACAATGATAATAGCAACATGGGCCAGTGAAGCGACGTCCTCCACAACTAGACTGAAGAACAAAAGGACAGTAACTTGTCTGTTCCCCTTCCCCGATTCCCCAATATTGTTACTCGCCCCCAGTTCCCCAATAAAATCTTTAAAAAAAAATTGTGGTAAAGATATATATATATATATATATATATATATGTATATAACAAAATTTACTATCTGCACCATTTTTAAGTGTACAGTTCAGTGGCATTAAGGACATTCACATTGCTGTGCACCACCATCCACCTCCAGAACTTTTTCATTTTCCCAGACAAACTCTATACCCACTAAACAATAAAATAAATCTCCCCCCAGCCCCTGGCAACCACTATTCTATTGAGTTGTCGGAAAAGTCATGATGTATTTTTTCTATGTTTTTTGTTGCAAAAACGCATCATGACTTTTCCAACAACCCAATACTTACTGTCTCTGTGAGTGTGACTACTCTAAGTACATCACAGAAGTGGAATCATACAGTATTTGTCAGTTGTATCTGGCTTCTTTCACTTAGAACAGGGGTTGGCAAACTGCGGCTCGCAAGCCACATGCAGCTCTTTGGGTACGTTCTGTCTCAAAAGTTTGCCGACCCCTGGAAGAGCCCACTCTGTCCCTCATAACAGTTTAAAAATTATTCGAGAGCCATAAATATATTTTTACATAATCACCATTATGTGAATAGAGCATCCTTTAAAACTTTGATAAATGAAACTATGATAGTTTTATTTTCATTTTCAATTTTACTTCAGGTCCACATGTACGAACCCAGAGAGCCACATGTGGCTCGTAAGCCACAGTTTGCTGACCCCTGGCAGCTCTTCTGTCTCAAAAGATTGCCAGCCCCTGACTTAGAACAATGTCTTCAAGGTTTATCCATATTGTGTATGTCAGAATTACTTTTTTTTTTTTTAATTGGGGAATTGGGGGAGGGGAACAGACAAGTTGCTGTCATTTTGTTCTTCATTCTAGTTGTGGAGGACGTCACTTCACTGGCCCATGTTGGTATTATCATTGTACTCTTCCCAGCTGAGGCAGATTGGTTGGTGGCCACTGGACGGCTGCTCACGGCGGCTCTTGGCACCTCATGAAAGCTCATTTCAGCTGCCGGCCAACCCCACTGCAGCCTACGCCATCAACTCACGGCAGCCCAGCTCCAGGTTGAAGTATTGTTCACCATCTTAGCTGTAGAGAGTGCAGCGTAACTGGCCCT